AGACAGCTGGCAAAAACAAAACTCTTTTAGGTTTCAGGAAAAACTGAAAAGGTTATTTTGCTCTCCCTTGCTTTTAGCAAATATTTGAATCTATAAAACAGTAGATGTCTGAAATATTTCCCTATGTCAAGCAATCTCAAAGGAAAAAGGCATTTGTTTAAAATTGGAATGTAACTGAAAAGTTAATAATCACCATTGTAAAAAAAGAAGAACAGGAGGACTTGTGGCACCTTAGAGACTAACAAATTTATTAGAGCATAAGCTTTCGTGGACTATAGCCCACTTCTTCGGATGCATATAGAATGGAACATATATTGAGGAGATATATATACACACATACAGAGAGCATAAACAGGTGGGAGTTGTCTTACCACCTCTGAGAGGCCAATTAATTAAGAGAAAAAAACTTTTGAAGTGATAATCAAGCTAGCCTAGCTTGATTATCACTTCAAAAGTTTTTTCTCTTAATTAATTGGCCTCTCAGAGGTGGTAAGACAACTCCCACCTGTTTATGCTCTCTGTATGTGTGTATATATATCTCCTCAATATATGTTCCATTCTATATGCATCCGAAGAAGTGGGCTATAGTCCACGAAAGCTTATGCTCTAATAAATTTGTTAGTCTCTAAGGTGCCACAAGTCCTCCTGTTCTTCTTTTTGCGGATACAGACTAACACGGCTGCTACTCTGAAACTTGACTTATCTGAGGAGCAGGAGCAGCAGCAACAGGACTGAGTGTTTCCAAGTCACTACTTTTACTGCCCTGGACAATTCCAGTCTGAGTTATGCTGGATGCCAACAAATGAGGAAAAAGAGCAGAGCTGGCCAAATAATTGAGTTGTTTTGCATCCTGAAAAGCTTGGCCATGGAACCTGTTATCTGATGAGCTGCCATTACTGCCCATCATACTGCTGTCAGCTGAGTAGCAGAAAGGTGTAAACTGCTCATTGAATGAGCCATTTGTGCTGTTTATCTGGCCCGGGGGCAAAAAGCACATGGCCTTCTCAGTGATTTTGCTAGGAGATGGCACCAGTCTTGCTGGATCATTGGCAGTCCACTCAGCCATATGGTCTTCATCTTTGAGAGTATCTGCTTCCATATCCCGCTTTCTGAACTCCAACCTATGGACATACAGTGAATGCAGTTGAAAATAAACATGCAGTGCTAAAGCGATGGCCCGAGTGGATCCTACCGACTGCCTCCATTTTTTTTTAAATCCCAGAGCTTTTTTTCAGGCTGAAGGCAAAGGATCTTCCATCCATAATAACTGTCAAAATATAATATTATGCACTCAGGAAACACGCAATAAAACAAAAACAAAATCCCACATTTCTACCACTTGGAGTGTCCTGCCTGCCAACTGCTCACTATTAAGTTCTAAAGTGTCACACAGATGGGAAGCAGATATAAAGATATATTGCAAAAAATATACTTTTCAACACCAAAAACATCCTTCAGAAGTGAGCTGACTAGTCCCTTAGCTTCACCGTAAGCCTTTAGGATCAGAAAAATCTGCTTAGTGGCCAAACACCACAGAAGAAACATAGAGAACAGAAGATGATTATGCAAAAAATGCACTACTGAAAAATTGACAGGTTTAGGTTACTCAGAAGAAAGTTTAGTTATAAAAGGAAGGGGAAAATACACTCATGACTTACAGCCCATTCTCTTTGATTCATGTGATTAAGAAGATTAGGGCATCTGAAAGCTGTGGGACAAAAAAAAGCACATTTCCCTGTTTTAAACTTTCTTAACCTCTCAGTCCTCCTCTCTGAGAGAATGGCTGGCTGCTCCATTTTCTACATAGTTGATTTTTTAAAGTATTTCATCAGTTGAACTTAGTGGGGTCTTCCAGGTATATTTTAATTAGATTCACAGGCAGTTTCCTGCCTTCTATGAAATGCAATATAGGCTCTCCAATAGATTAAGCTCTGGGATAATTAATGACTTTTTCTCCTGACTTTAATTTAAGTGGTTTGAATAAGATGTACAGACCCATTTTATCTTGATCAGTTATTATTATTAGTTAAGCACTGAGATGTGCTTGGTGCTGGTACAATACCTACAATACGGTCTCTGCTTCTAACAGCTTGCAATTGGTATCTCACTGTTGTTTGCATTAGATGTGTAATTTTATTCATGTGAGTAGCTGCATTGAGTTCAATGGGACATGTGATTTGAGTAAAGTTAGGTCTAAGTGCTTGCAGGCTAGAAGAGAAGACAGTGAGAAGACAAGATGTCCTGGGAAATGAGAGGTGGGAATAATGAACAATTTGAAAAAAATTAAACTAAGATATTAATTAGTCAAAGTTTAACACCTTCTTCCTTGTTTGAAATGCAGGCTTCCAGTTTCAGAAGGTGTCTGGAATACAAAAATTTAAATTACTATAGTATCAGAGGGGTAGCCATGTTAGTCTGGATCTGTAAAAAGCAACAGAGGGTCCTGTTGCACCTTTAAGACTAACAGATGTAATGGAGCATAAGCTTTTGTGGGTGAATGCCCACTTCGTCAGACCCATGCGTCTGACGAAGTGGGCATGCACCCACGAAAGCTTATGCTCCAATACATCTGTTAGTCTTAAAGGTGCCACAGGACCCTCTGTTGCTAAATTACAATAGAAACTCAAAAATCTTAGTACATCAGAGTACCCATAACATTTCATATATCAGTATGTTATGTGAATGTACAGGGTGTATCACAGATAGTGTACAGGGTTTGCTGTTGCCAGGGCTAGCACTAGTCTTTCATCTCCAGAGAGCTGGGTTCCAATCCTGGATAAGTCCAGAAATAAATGTGAGTTTGGTGGTCTCATCTTGGTGCCTACAGGACAAGCATTTGCACTGCATGACTGGCAATTTCTATTTAAATACAGCATGGCAGGGTGGCTTGTGCAGAGTCTGTCAGCACCAAGGAGTCCATCCTCCTCTGAGGGCACACACATAATTCCAATTTATGTTTCTGGGAGTCAGTCGCACCCCAGGGGAGGCAACTTCAGTTACCAGAGTCCTTGAAAAATCAAGTTAAAAGGTTATGTTGGTTAAAAGGTATGTATAGTGAATATCGGGCTAAGAATCCAAAAGCCAACACAACAGAATGCAGAATGAAGAGACAGAAGAAAAAGAAAACCAAGACAGAAGTAAAACCCGATCATTAAAATTATCTGGCAGACATGAAAGTGAAAACATTAGCATAGTAAATAATATTTTATCTTAATTTTTAAGCAGAGTAGACTTCTCTTATTTGAATAATTGCAAGAATATAATATTCAGCATTGAACTACTAAACCTACATATTGTATGTTAAAAGACTAGTACTAACAAACTTTATACATTAGAATCCTGTTCCAGGAATTAATATTTCTATTAGTTCTGAGCCCTAGAGAAGGTACATTTTGTAGATTACTTTGTACTACTTTTACTTGGAGTGTGGTTTTATCGTAAGGGTTTTCTTTTAATATCCCCTCCTGGCCTCCTTTAAGCTTTCCTTGTGAGCTAGTGCAGTTGACAAGCATGGAGCTGTAGTAATAAAATTATTGTACGTGCCAAACACCAAACAATCCATCACTCTGATGTGATTAGTGATTTGGGCTGCTGAGAATGAAGCACAATGAATATTTTCAGGCACTTTGGACATGACATTACATGCTGTTGCTTCCAGTCTGCCAGATTTGATCATGCATAACATAAGCTTAATTCCTTGAATGCCATATATTAATCTCACTCAAGGCCCCAGCCAATTCTATTGGCTGTCACTGGTTAGAAATGGAAGAGCCTTGACCTTCTCTTTTCTTCCTCTCCTGAGATCCTCAGTGTTGGGAGAATTCATGATCGCTGATCCAGTGTTTCCAGATCCACTTATTATAATTAGTACCACTTGCCTCGCTCCGGATCTGGACGCCAAAGTCGGAGTGAGGACAAGAGTATCAGTTATAAGTAGGCTTGGCAGAATTTGATTTTTTTTTAAATAATTTTGACCAATAATATTGACTTTTATTGTTAAATATTTTATTCTATTTTTATCAATTTAAATAGTCACAGATGCACAAAATTATGGGCTTTAAGTTTATTTTTATCTATTTAAATTTTCATTGTTGTGGGAAGTTATGGAGGGGTCAGAGGGTACGGGAAGGTCAGACAATAATTATTAATGAAGTAGATGTTGAGATTCAAAAAGTTGCACTTTATAATGGTTAAACACAAACTGTCAACATCACATGTTTAGATATACAAAGTAAATACCTTTACATCAAACCCTAATAAGTTCTCAAGCAGCCTTTTTCTTATTTTGCCCATCTGTATTTTCGATTATTGTCAATGGAAATATTTTTTCAACAGTATGTGTGTGTACTGTGAAATCGATGTTTACTGACATTTACCCAATAAAAATCTAATCCTTCCAAGTCTAGTTATAAGACGGGGGTGAACTGGACTGAAGATATTCAGGGCTGGTATATACTAAAAGTTAGATTGATCCAGCCACCTTGCTCAGGGATGTGAAAAATCTATCCCCCTGAGCAACGTAGTTAAGCGGATCTAAACCCTGGTGTAGACAATGCTAGGTTGACGGAGAAATTCTTGAGGAGGTGGATTAATTACAGCAATGGGAGAACCCCTCCTGGCTGCTGAGATAGTGTCTACACTGAAGTGCTACAACAGCACAACTGCAGCCATCAACTACAAAACCCTCAGCTACAAACACGCTGACTGGAGGAGATATCCACTATCAGCAGGCACTTAATTAAGAAGCTTAAGTAGCAACTCACATTTGCCTCTTCAGAAATCCAAGACCAATAAGATAGATGTCTGTCAACGTGGGGGTTTTCTGTAATACCCATCACGGTACTATCTAGGTGCTCCCCTGGTAAATTAAATGTGCCTGGAGAAATATTCTGCTCTTCTCCTTTCTCTCAAATAAAAAAGCATTGTTTGAGGAATGATATTATAGGTGTGGCTGGTAGCACCACCGGTTACTAAATTAGCCTGACATTTCTATTATAAGCAACTGAAAACAGGTTCTTATAATGTTGCCAAACTGGAAATCTTTGGGTTGAAATGTCCCATGCTGGATGTCTAATTCTAGTTGAATTTTTTTGGAAATGTTCAGCCAAAACAGTTCAGTCATTTCCAAGAATGAGATTAGGAAATAATCTGTTGTTTTGCCCATGTTAAAACATTTCTGACAACCTTTTCTTTGAAAAGCGTTGGCTTGTCCAGGCTTTGAAGTGGGGGCTTGTAATTTTTGGAAGGTGGGTGGCCTTTGTTTCAGAGATGCATCTTTTGCTATTCCTGTGAAAATCCACCCAAATTTGGCCAAGTTATAAACCTTTGAAAACTCTCAGTTTGCACATGCTCAGTAGAGACTCCTTAGATTTAGAAGTTAAAATCTCCAACACATCTGTGAGCAATGAGCATGCTCTACCCCCTCACAGCTCCTAGTGCTGACCAGACCGTGCATGCACCATTCTCACAGGGCAACTGAGCATGCTCCAGCCCCTCACAGTTCTTATATTAGACCAGACTACACATGCACCATCCCCACAGAATGAGCATGCTCCCTCCATACTAGGGATACAGGCACTAGTGTGCGTCTGGGCACCAGAACTGAGAGCAAAAAGCCAGTCTCTCCTGTGCTCCCAATTACCCCCCTGCTGGCACCCAGGCAGCCCAGACGGGTACTTGAACACAGTGTGGACAAGAGCCAGAGATTGGAATTTGGAGGAGGAGGCTGAGAGGCTTTTTTGCCGCTCCAAGCACGGCAGGCAGGCTGCCTTCGGCGGCGTGCCTGCGGGAGGTCTCCTGTCCCACGGATTCGGTGGCATGCCTGCATGAGGTCTGCCGGTCCCGCGGCTTCGGTGTACCGGACGCCGAATTGCCACCGAATCTGCGGGACCGGTGGATCTCCCGCAGGCAAGCCGCCGAAGGCTGCCTGACTGCCACCCTCGCAGGGACCAGCAGGGCGCCCCCCGCGGCTTGCTGCCCCAGGTACGCACTTGGAGAGCTGGTGCCTGGAGCCACCGCTGCTGAGAGGAGTAAGTGGGGCAAGAAGCTGGGGAAGGCAGGGATACAGAGTGGATGAGAAGCCTGGCGAGGGATACTGGGACCCAATGGGGATAGGACACAGGAGAAGTGGAGAGGATGACAGGAAACCAGGGGAAGAGAGAGGCAGATTGGGGCATAGGGAGGAACCTGGGACTGGCTGAGCAAGGAGACTGGAGACAAGGAACCAGGGTGGTGGTAGTGGGACTGGGAATTTTTTTAATTTTTTTTAATTTAATTTTTAATTAATGGAGATATCCCATCTCCTAGAACTGGAAGGGACCTTGAAAGGTCATTGAGTCCAGCCCCCTGCCTTCACTAGCAGGACCAAGTACTGATTTTGCCCCAGATCCCCAAGTGGACCCCTCAAGGATTGAACTCACAACCCTGGGTTTAGCAGGCCAGTGCTCAAACCACTTGGCTGGGCAAAACTAGGAAAAGTACCTGCTGAGAGACTGGGACTGAAAGGGGATATTGGAACAGATAGTCCTGAGAGGTAAGACTAGGACTTTCTAGCAAGGATACTAAGAATAGGATAAGCAGTCTGAGAAGCAGAGACTGGAAATAGGACGAAGAGCCAGGGTGGGGAAGAGACAGGACTGAGGCAGGGATAGGGTGGAGGGCTTGAGATAGAAGGGGTCAAGCGTGGGCGGAAATGGACAGAAGAATCTGTGCCCACTGCAGAACACACCCTTACAGAGCTTGGAATGGAACTGAAGATTCCTGAGTCTCACCATTCGTCTGTTGCCTGCCAATATCTTGAAACACACCGGCAAAGCGATCCACTCTCCTCTAGTGCGGCTCTACCTAGAGGATGACAACATACTACTTCTACCAGTTACTCCACTAACTCAAGTGACAGAGGTCTGTGTGGTGGATCTCAAGGTTCCAGTGCTGCTGATGACCTATGGGGCGGTCAATATAATGCCCGATTAGGAATTTATGTTTTTTTCAATTTGCTTTTCTAAAAAACTAAGAAATTATACCCCCCAAAAAACCAATGTGAAAAAACATTATTAGGTTGCAAAAATTAGTAAATGCCAGGTTGCTTGTGCAATCTTAATTTGTTCCCCTTGTGTGTATGTGTTATAATACAGCCTTTATCCATCCAAGTGATCATCACATACTATTTTTCCCACAGGACCCTGTTTCATTCAGTACACAAGCTAGATGGTGCTCTGGAGGTGAATCAGTGTTGTGCAGTGGAGGAGACTCTTGTCTGTAGAACACTGCTTCACTTGTTGCAGAAGTGGGAAGGTGTGTACTTAATGTGGTTCTGGGACATGGCGGCCTTACTGCTCAGAGCTAAAGGCCCTTCCCCTCAGTTGAGGGAGAGGGGGCCAGCAAACCTAGGCCACAAGTAACAGTGAGGGACAACAAATGTAAAACCCAGGGATGGGAGTGAAGATCATAGGTGAAAATCAAGTAACCGGAAGGGGACACTCAGCAAAGAACCCCCGATAACACCCACTGCTCCTCAAAGGCATTTAAGGAGTTACTGGATACTACCCAGAGGAACTCTGCTCAGAGGCATGACCGAACAAAAGAACAGAAATAGGCCCTGCAGTCACCTAGCACCACTCGCATCCAGCTTCCTCCTCTTGGGGTGATGGACGGCTACTGGTCAGGCTCAGACTACAACCCCCTCGCCTAGCTCTTCTGGGGGTGACTCTCAAAAATAATAATACAATTCTGCTTTGATACCAGTGGAGTAAAAAGATGACATACCCATGTGTGTACAAGTCCCTCTGTGTTCAGATACACCTGAAGTCTTGTGAACTTGGTAACAAATTTCTTTACCTATTTTTTAAATAATTAAAATAACAGATTAGAACTGTAATCAGAATTTTAAATCAGTTCCTTGATTTCCAGTTCCAGTAAAAACAATTTTCATTAAAATGTAGGGTAATACATTGCTTTTTTTCCCCTTGTGAGATAAAAACAAAATCTTTGCAGTCAAATTTTTTTTTCTTGCCTCTCTCCTAGGATTGCTGGGATATATACATCTTCAGAAAATAGCTACTTATGTAAACTAATTGAAAGTTCCTGATACATCATTTCACTGTAGGCTAGTTATGCTTTGATATGAAAATTAGGGATTGGAGAGGTGGGGAGCATTTATGCCCAATCCTACAATTAGTGCTGTGTGGGTGGACACCTACTGAAGTAAATGGGACTCTGTACATGCAAAGAGCCAACTACATGGACTTGATTGCAGGTTCAGGGCTATATATTGTAGCAGATGCTTCCTTAACTGCTTTTATGGATTTTAAATTAGCAATTGTTTTCTGTACATTGATTTTTTAATTTATTTCATTGAACTCCTGTTGTGCAGTATGTTTGCGTCAATGGTCTGCTGATTTTATAGGAATTAATATGTTTATTTCAGCAAAGGAATGTCTGACCAGACAGCCTAATTAAATTGTCCATCACCACCCAGGCTGTCTTCCTGAGAGCTCCAATGCAGAGTTGATAGAACTCACTGCTGTAAATTAATCTGAGAGCAAATATTCATTTACAAAAAATATTTCCAGTCCTGGAGCCCGATCCTGTAATCCCTTACTGATGGATATGGGCCCATTCTTCTGTATGTTTTGAAAATGGAGCAAACCCCTTTCTGTAAGTGGCAGCAAGGAAGGATTCCCCTGCAGCCCAGGCTCATGCCGCATCACCCACAGATCTCTTGATGCTAATGAGAAGGGGTGATCCCAGCAGGTTGCATACATCCCACGGGAACTTAGGTGGGAGCCCCCGTCCCGAAATGAATAGAGCTCCCCATTCAGCGCACTTAGACTTTTCTCCTATCCTCGTGTTCAGAGCGTGCAGAAGCAATGCTTGGGGGGGGGGGGAGCAGATGGGGTCATGTGCACCCCTGATTTCTGCCAGGGTTAATATCCACTGGAGACACCTGACTCACCCCAGGGCACTGAGCAGAGGCTGAGGGCGAGCTGCTGTATGAGATTCACGCCAACTTCTCCCCTCCTCACGGACACCTGGGCTCAGCAAAACGGCTGCAGAGCTTCCCCTGGGCAGGCAGGGCTCTTAGCAGTGGGGCGTCGGGCTCCCTCGACACACTACAGCGCTTACACCTGCTCTGGGCGTCATCCCCAGTGCCTCTCCCCCACCTCACCTCCCCAGCACACAGCTGCCGGCTGGCTCTAGCCCCCAGTGCCGTGTCTGCCCCCTTCCCCCCAGTACACAGCTGGCTCTGAGCTTTTACTGACAGCGTCTACAGCTCCTCCCCCGCCGGTGCTGGGCTCTCCGCGTTGCGCAACAGCCCCTCCCCGCCTGCCTACCCCAGAAAGCCTCCCGGGAGCAGCAGCTCTCTCCCCCAGCCACCGGCTTCCTTACCTGGACCCTGGCTGCAACAGCCTTTCCCTTGAGTCCTAAAGCCTGACGCGTCTCCTGCTGCCAAGGAGGGAGTTTCCAAGCTTGCAGGAGCACTGCGCTGTAACCTCAGCAGTGGCTCTTTCCGAGCAGCCTCCACCTGCTACTACCTAGTGTCATAAAACGGGCGATCAGCAGTCCCTCTCTCTGGAGGACGCTGCATTATACTGCCAGGACCTTGACCTTGTGCCCGTCCCACTCTCTGCAGTCCCGGGGCCCCGCGGGGAGCTAGAGCCCCTCGCCCTGCTGGGGAGCTGCCAAGCCCTGCAGCAGCCTGGAGCCGTTGAGCTGCGGCGGTAGCTACAGCAACTGTAAACAGCAAGTGCGGCCCCAGGCAAGGGAAGCGTTGTCCCGTCTCTCGGTCCCGGCCTCCCGTGGCCCTTCAGTGAGAGCCCGCCCTGGGGAAGGTGGGTCAGGAACTCACCAGCCGGGCGGGAGCGGGGGAGCTGCCCAGGGGAGCACCCCAGCAGCCGCCTCCTTGCACACCGGCCTCACGTGTCTCCAGAGGCGCTGCCCAGAGCCCCTGGAAGAAGGTGCACAATGCAGGGCACCGATCCCTGCTGGCGGCAGCAGCGCAAACACCAAGGCGGAGCATCTCACTGCCCTTGGTAACAGCTGTTCAGCCCTACAGCGTTTCACCTCTCCACGCCAGTGAGTGAGTGGAGGGGGCTACGAGACAGGGGATGCTGGCCAGCTAGACGCAGTTTAACAGGCTAAAAACCGAAGGCCAGTCTGCTCTGGGTGCACATTGAAGACCCATGGAACGGAAGTACTCATAAGGGGCAGAGGTCCATGTGTCAGCTAATTTTTCCCTTCTTGTAGTGCACTGTGAGCTTTATGAACCACTTTGAACCAGAGTTCCTGATGATTAAGGATACCATTTAGTCATGGAGGTCATGGTAGGCATGGGCTCCCTGACTTTACCAGACCTCTGTGATGTTTTCGGCTTCAACTGTCAGCCACTGGAGCCAGGTCCCATTCCCCACGCTGGGGCCTGCTGCCCTGGCCTCTTAGAAGTCAGAGGACACATGGGAGAGCTTCTCAGGCACGCATGGGGCAGGAACTGATGGGGGGGCAGTGACAGGCAACCTATCTAGTCCCTTCCTGTGATCCACTGGTGGGTCAGGACTCACTGTTTGGGAATTACTACTCTACAGGATGTTCACCTAAAAATAATGATGTCATTAGCAGTAATGTACTCAGCTAGCAAAAATACTGATTAATCATTTGAATATTATATATTTTAAAATTTTAAATTGAATGTAAACTAATGTCAAAATTGTCTTTGTACTTTCAGGAAGAACTTCTCTCTCCTAGCCAATAAAAGTTTTAATGCAGATTCATAGTGAATGTTATTTGCTGACAATCTGAATTGTAATTGGTGCTAAATCCCCACTAGCAATGATTTTACAAAATTCACTTAGAAGCAGTGAAAATTACTTTGATATTTGTTAAAACAGTCAGTCAGTCTGCATCAAATACAAGTACACACATTCTGGTTTGAATCTTCAGCCAGGGTAAATCAGGGTAGCTCCATTGACTTCAGTGGAACCACAATGATTTACAACAGCTGAATATATGGTCCTTATTCTTGTTATTTATCATTAAAAGTGCATTTTAAAGTCTCTGGTCTGAATACATATCCTCAGCAATCCTGGAGAGCCTCTTAGATGGCCCACCATTCAGTGACACTTAGAAATTAGACTGTAATAGCAACAAGAACTGAAAGATGAAGAATATTGTATCTCCACCATCCAGCAGGGTCATGATAAAAAATACATGGCCAGACACACAAAATCCTAGTTCTGTATGCACAGTAAGTTGATGCCACTGGAGACTGTAGTTAATCTAAAATGTCCTACACTTCCACAGATTTGCACTGTCCATATGTGATTTCTTAACAAGTGTTTGTGTTGTACTTTTTTTTTCTTGCTGCTACAGATTCTGGTACGTTTTTAGCATGATTTGTTCAATGGTTTCTAACACAGTAACAACTACCAAATTTGGTGCAATAGTCTAGTTGTCATAACTTATTTTAATTTTAGCACAATTATGTTTCTTTAGTGCCTGCTATTTAGTATACACTGGAGTGCTTGAACTGCAGGTGGTTTATCTTGGCAGTTCTAAAGAAGCCTGATGCCCCAATGCCATGGGAGATTTTTGTTTTACAAATTGCTCACTCAGGTTGATCTAAAGCTATCACAGTGAAAAACCTCCTCATCAAGCTTCGCCTTTCCTCACTCGTAACCTTCTGCATAGAAAAAGTATTCCTCTATGAAATGCAGTGCAAGATAACTATCTTCGAATACTGCCAGTTAAATCATTGTTCTCACTTGCATACCACATGGCAAATGCTGTGGTGGTCACCAAAGATGACATTTATCAAGTGAATATTAATTGTTCATGGTTTTGTGGGGAATAATATTTAACCAAATGCTAAACATTTTTGAAAAGTATACACAATTTAGAGGCATTTTACTGCAAAAACTTCCCCTTTGGACATGTTGGGCCATTACATTGATGGAAAACTAGAGTAACTCCATCAATGTATTAATATTTCTCAGCTACAGCACTGGTTGTTATGTAAATCCTCCGCTCAAATGCAATTGTAAGATCTGTAACTTGTATGATTAAGTTCTGCAACCTTTTTGCAGATTTTGTAACTTCAGTTATTGTTAGCATAGCCTTTTAAGTTTTGTAACCTTTGCAAGCTCTGTAACCTTTTAAAGTTACCACTTGTATGAACTTCCAAGCTTTGTAATATCCCATCCCTCAGAGAGAGTGTGAACGAGGGAGCGTATGTGGGACTGGGCAGAGAGGAGCTGCAAGGAGAAAGGAGCCCGGAGACAGGTGTGTCTGATATAATCTGCCCTGAGAAGGCAATCACGAAGTGCTGTAAAGAGAAGAAGAACCTGGTATGCATGAAAGGAACTGGCCTGGGAATGCTTCTCGGTGACGGACACAGAAGGGAAACTCAGTGTACGTGACAGGAGCTGCCCAGTTCCAGAAAAAGGAAGCAGCCATGCACACAAGCAGCTGCCGCTCCTTGACCTGCTCAGCAGCCTGGATTCATGACCGCCGGCGGACACACCAGATCTCCCCCGCTTCGGCTTCTCAGTCTCCATGCTGTCTCCGGTAACTCTCCGCCTGTGTAAGTGTGTGGGTGCATGAGGGTATGAATGCGGTGAATGTGCGCGTGTATGAATAAGCTCCATCTCTTTTCTATCTGACCCAACAGCGGCATCGTAATAAAACTAATACAAGTGTGACCCTGGGTTGGTTTTTAGGGGAACAGAGGTAACTCTGGTATTTCAGGGCTGTACCAGATGCTGTGTTTTAAAATGGAGTGGAAGCTGCCAGTACCACCTGGCCTGCAGTGCTGGTGGCCAGATTTTCCCCCCAAAGCTTCTAAATTCTGATTCCAGGTTTCTAATTTGCCTAGAGAATTTAAGAGTGAATGAGCATAAGGCAGGAGCAGAGAGGGAATTAGAAGCATCAGAGGAAGGGGTAGATAGAAGAGTTGTAGTGGCAGAGATAGCTGCCATGCTCCAATCTGTCTTGCTTCATATAGCTCCTCATAGCTGGGGCTGATGCTGAGCCACTGAAGTGGGGACCACAGCCTGGTGGGCAATTCCCTTTAAGCAACTGGACTGCCTATCTACAGATTTCTATGCTCCTTTTGCAGCCAGCTATAGGACCCACTCAGAGAGCAATAGCAGGGAGGAAAAATGAGGAACAACGGGAAAGGGAAGATCAACAAATGAAGATAAGTCATTATGAGACCAGTGGGGGCTGTGAATGGGTAATAAGGGTAAGTTGTACCCAATTTTGTCCCTAAAATGAAGGGAATGCATATTTGTTTTGTGGTTTTCCCATCTTAGGGGAGCAGTTGATTTCTCCTGCACTGTTTCTAAAATATGAAGATACTAGAATCTTGTCTGTAAGCAAAAGGAGGCACTATAGTGATGGTAAAATGTTTCTCTCCTATGTGCAGTTTTTATCTCCCCACTATAGTTATCTTATACTTACCTGTCTCTTTCCCCTTGCCTACTGTCACTTCCTCATGTCTATCTGCATTTCCTTGCTTGTTACTGTTCCCATTTAATTTGTCTGAGGTGCTGATCAGTCACATTGAAACAACTCAGCTTGAGGCAGCAGAAACTACACTGGAGGAGAAAGTGCTATTTCATTTGGATTACACAAAGCTTCTCTCTAACAAAGAATGCTAAATTCAGTTTAATAGACTAGAGAGGAGCAGGAACAGAATGAAAAAGCAGATCACAAATAAGAACATCCTACTAAAGCTAGATGGGGGTCGCAATCCACAAAGGACTTGAACACTTAAACCCACGACTTAGGCACCACTGCACTCCACAAAACTCCTGCTGAAACTTGTAGGTGCCTAAACTCATGCAGTGCATATGTTTTCAGGTTAAAAGTTCCCTCAGCACCTAAGTTTCTTCCTCTGGGCATGTACACAGGAGAAAGGGAATGTCAGCAAATTAAGATAAAGAGAAAAGTCATCATGAGACAAGTGGGGTCTGAGAATGGGGAACAAATGCGGTGTCCCCAATTCTGTCCCTAAAATGGAGAATATGGAGGGAATGCATATTTGTTTTGTAGTTTTCCCATCTTAGGGCAGTTGATTTCTCCTGCATTGTTCCTAAAACACTCTGATACTGGATTCTTGTGGATTCCAGGACTGCAGGACCACTGCAGAGATAGGTGCCCAAATTCAGGCTGAGGGAGGCACCTATCTCTGTGAGGGCAGCAGGGTTTAGGATACAGCCCTCTCCTGGGCATCTCCCACTGCCTACTTTAGGCAGCTCCCCACCTAATAGGCTGGCTTTTGCAGACTACATTCTAAGGCACCCATCTCTCCCCATTCATTGTATAGGGAGCCTAGGCACTTTAAAAATGGTTACCTTTCTTTCTGTAACTGTTGATCTTCGAGATGTGTTGTACATGTCCATTCCACTGTAGATGCATGCACACCTTGTGCAGTTGAAGAACTCTTTCTCTCAGCAGTACCATCAGGGCAGCTTGAGTGCCCTCTGTTGCCACACATTACTGCATGCCAATTTAAAAGGGCAGAAGCACCCTTTACCCCCCTCAGTTCCTTCTTGCCAGATAGACTGCAATAGAGAAGGGAAGGAGGGAGGGTCATGGAATTGACACATGCAACAAATCTCAAAGAACAACAGTTACAGAAAGGTAGGTAACTGTTTTTTCTTCTTCAAGTGATTGCACATGTCCACTCCACTGTAGCAGATTAATATGGAGGTGGGCTCTGAGTCCACCTGAACAGTGATTGAAGAACAATCTGTCAAAAAGTGGCATAATTCCTGAACTGTTGGGAAATGGTATAATAAGCAGCAAAATTGTGAACTGATTATCAGGTTGCTGCCTTACAAATGGCATGAATAGGAGAACTTTTGATCAGGAAGCTGCTGATGCTTGTGTTCTAGTCGAATGCGCCAATACTGTTGCGAGCGGCATGACATTAGCTAATTGGTAGCAAAACCGAATGCAAGAGCAAATCTAGAAGGAAATCCTCTGAGTGAAAACTGGTTTGCCCCTCACTGTGTCGGCAATTGTGGCAAATAACTGCACTGAGGATCAAAATAGTCTGATGTGGTCCAAATGGAAGGGCAATACCCTCCTCACATACAACAAATGAAGCCTCTGCTTATCTGTATGCATAAGGCTTTTGGAAGAACATTGGCAAATAAATTGCTTGGGTCACATGGAAATTAGAAACCACCTTTGTCAAGAATTTTGGGTGAGGGCATAGATAAACTTTAACCTTATGGAAAACCATGTAAGGAGGTTCTGAGACCAGGGCTCTCAGTTTGCCCACTCACCTTGCTAAGGTTATTTCAACCATAAAGAAGATGGAGTAGGGAGCAAATCACAAGAGGTTCAAAGGGAGCCCCCATGTGGATCTTTATTTTTTTCAGGTATTTGTTTAACTCTCTTAGATATAAAATAGGTCTAAGATGGCCTTCTGCTTTGGGAATACAAAATAGTGGGAACTAAAATATTTCCCTCTGAGGAACAGAGGACCTTCTTCTATTGCTCCCACTAGGAAAGACTGGATTTCCTGCTGAGGAATGGTCTTGTGAGGGTGGTCCCCAAAGAGGAATAGGGAAGTGTTTAGAAAAACTGGACATGCACAAGTCCATGGGTCTGAATCTAATGCATCTGAGGGTGCTGAGGGAGTTGGCTGATGTGATTGCAGAGCCATTGGCCATTATCTTTGAAAACTTGTGGCAATTGGGGGAGGTCCTAGATGATTGGAAAAAGGCAAATATAATGCCCATCTTTAAAAAAGGGAAGAAGGAAAATCCGGGGAACTACACACCGGTCAGCCTCACCTCAGTCCCTGGAAAAATCATGGAGCAGGTCCTCAAGGAATCCATTTTGAAGCACTTGGAGGAGAGGAAGTGATCAGGAACAGTCAACATGGATTCACCAAAGGCAAGTCATGCCTGACCAATCTGATTGCCTTCTATGATGAGATAACTGGCTCTGTGGATATGGGGAAAGCAGTGGATGTGATATACCTTGACTTTAGCAAAGCTTTTGATATGGTCTCCCACAGCATCCTTGCCAGCAAGTTGAAAAAGTATGGATTGGATGAATGGACTATAAGGTGGATAGAAAGCTGGCTAGATCATCGGGCTCTACGGGTAGTGATCAGCGGCTAAATGTCTAGCTGGCTGCCAGTATCAAGCAGAGTGCCCCAGGGGCCAGTCCTGGGGCTGGTTTTATTCAACATCTTCATTAATGATATGCATGATGGGCTGGATTGCACCCTTAGCAAGTTTGTAGATGACACTAAGCTGCAGGGAGAGGTAGATATGCTGGAGGGTAGGGATAGGGTCCAGAGTGACCTAGACAAATTGGAGGATTGGGCCAAAAGAAATCTGAGGTTTAACAAGGACAAGTGCAGAATCCGGCACTTAGGACCGAAGAATTCCATGCCCTGCTACAGGCTGGGGACCGATTAACTAAGCAGCAGTTCTGCAGAAAAGGACCTAGGGATTACAGTGGATGAGAAGCTGGATATGAGTCAACAGTATGTCCTTGTTGCCAAGAAGGCTAATGGCATATTGGGCTGTATTAGTAGGAGCATTGCCAGCAGATTGAGGGAAGTGATTATTCCCCTCTATTCGGCACTGGAGAGACCACATCTGGAGTACTGCGTCCAGTTTTGGACCCCCCCCCCACTACAGAAAAGACAAATTGGAAAGTCCAGCGGAGGGCAACGAAAATTATTAGGGGTCTGAGGCAAATGATTTATGAGGAGAGGCTGAGGGAACTGGGCTTATGTAGTCTGCAGAAGAGAAGAGTGAGGGGGGATTTGATAGCAGTCTTCAATGACCTGAAGCGGGGTTCCAAAGAGGATAGAGCTAGGCTGTTCTCAGTGATGGCAGATGACAGAACAAGAAGCAATGGTCTCAAGTTGTAGTGGGGGAGGTCTAGGTTGGATATTAGGAAAAACTATTTCACCAGGAGGTTGGTGAAGCACTGGAATTGCTTACTTAGGGAGGTTGTGGAATCTCCATCATTAGAGGTTTTTGATGACTGGCTTGACAAAGCCCTGACTGGGATGATTTAGTTGAGGTTGGTCCTGCTTTGAGCCGGGGGCTGGACTAGCTGACCTCCAGAGGTCTCTTCCCACCCTAATCTTCTATGATTCTATGATAAGTGGCGTGGAAATGGGGAGTAGAAACAAACTGAAGGGAATATCCCAAATCCATCTTGCTTAGGACCCAAGCATGGAGGAAGTGAGATAGACAATTGGCAAAGATATGGGTAGGAACAGACTGGTCTACAAATACTGGTATGCTGCCCTTGACAAGCCCATCAAAATGTATGTTTAGACGGACTGTTGGTCAAGAAGAACATGCTGCTACAGATGATGAGTGGGGTCGGTGATCAACTGCTGCCCTTTTTTTTAAGCAGGTCCTGGGGCCGAGGTACAAAGTTCTGATATCTGTGAACCTGCTAGGGTTGGAATTGCTTCCTCTTCATTGTCGGTGTGTAGATTCCAAGTAACTTCAATGCTGCCCTGGAATCTTTTAAGCTATGCAGCCTATTGTCCATCTTTTCCACACACACAAAAAAGATGGATCCTCAAATGATAAATCCTGGAAGGTCTGCTGTACTTCAGGAGGGAAACCAGAACCCTGCAGCCATGAACATCCCCTCACAGATATGGCAGATTCCATGGAACAAGCCACTGAGTCCACCACATCCAAACTGTCCTGAAGTGCTGTCCCGGCCACCAGCTTACCTTCTTCTACCATGAAAGTGAACTCCTACCGAGAGTCCTCCAGTAGCCTGTCCTTTGACTTCATGTTTTCCCATACAATGAAGTTATAGTGACTTAGGAGGGCCACTTATATGGTGGTGGTAGGCCCCATGGTTGTGCAGGCCATTGCCCCTTGTAATGTGCCCGCTGCTGGGACTGTTGAGACATCCATGGACCCCACAGCTTACATGAAGGATAAGCTTCCCATCTGGTATGGGACACAAAAGACACCTCTTCGGAATCTGATGATGATGACTGAGTTCTGTGATAACAGTAGAGCAAAACCTTTGTGGACAGGAGACAGGTAAGCCAAACCTGGAGGTGGCGGTACTGGAGATATTAACGATGGCTTGCCCCTGGAATGTCCCAATCTCCTAGGCACCAGAAGTGCCATTGGTACCATATGCTCCTGCGGGTCTGATGTAGGAATTACAGTTGCCAGTACTAGCTGAAACCCTTCCTGCACCACCAGGGACACTGGTACAAAGAGGACGAGTAGATCTCTGGCAGCATTGTCGGTACTGGAACTGGTTCCTGGGTTTGACGAATAGAAACTTCAGGGGTCAGCATCAATGGACCTGGCACAGGTTCTAGAGTCAACGAACGCTCCTTTGTGACAGAGGATCACTCTGGAGAACGCTTTCCCTCAGAGTCCCTTGCAGGGTCCTTATTTTAGCAGGCCTCAGTACCAAATATCTTGCCAGGTGCAGTACTTTGTCTTTGTGTCTTCTGCAGTACCAGAAACACCAAAGCTGGAGTCAAAGACATTTTGAGAGGCACACTCTGCACTGATTGTGCCCCACTCAGAGTATGCGCTGAACCCAAAAGATCTGATGCAGGGCAAAGTGCCACTTCCATAAGAAGACACTTAAGCCTTACTGCTCTATCTTTTTTTTTTTAAGCTTGAACCCTCTACAAATGTGGGACTCCCCCAAATATTCTAGGCAGCTGAGCTGTGGATCACAGACTGTTAAAGGTCTGGCAAACAACTGGCAGGACCTGAACCCCAGAGAGCAAGGCGCAGTTCTGGTCCTAGTCCCAAAAAAATCAAATTTGGTCCAAAACAGACTTAAAAGCTAAAAACTTAACACTAACTATATACTGTATCTGACTAACTACTAAGTACTAAACGAGAAACAGATTATATATAAAGAGTGAGGAAAATAAACTTGCAATAGCAAGAGCGGAAGCACTCCAACAACTGTCACCGGTGGTAAGAAGGAACAGAGGGAGGTTGGGAGTAGCTCTGCCTTCTCATACTGGTATGCACAGGTGCACAGTAAAAGAGGGTGCTCAAGCCACCCCGAGGGGTACTGCTGAGGGAAAACATTCTCTAACAACTATGCATGAGGCATGCACACCTCTACAGTGGAATGGACATGTGCAATCACTCAAAGAAGACTGCAGGCTTTGTGGATCACATTGATGTTCCTATTATTTTCTGGGCACCTAAAAGTTAGATGCCGTGACACTGAGCATTGTGATGCCTCAGTGCCTTTGTGGATCTGGGCCAAGATCCTTTACAAATAATAAAGATTCTGTTGGAAGTCTGAACATATCCTGTGGCTTTTATTAGGCTTTAATTTTATACACATTACATTTCTCCTGCTGCTCCCTTCACATCTGATCTCCAAACTCCAAGTCTTCAGACCATTATTAGACCTTGCTTTTGGCTTATCTGATGGTTCTTGCACTCTCAACATCCATAAGTCTTCTAGATGAGACTGTTGGCAGCCCTCTCCTCCCTTGAAGTAGCAGTGATATTCAGGAAAAGCCCATTGACCACCCACCTCCCTCAACCAACTGCAGAAAATATTTAGGTCAGAGACAGCCTGCACAACCTTTTTACCTTGGATATGTTTTGTGAACTCCTAACCATATCTCTCATATGTCCTTGTTTTTTTCACCCACGGAGCTCTGGAGTATGTTTGATTCCCTGCCTTGCTCCTATCTCCTGAAGCTGCTTCCTGAACAGAACTGGTGCTCCCCATACATTTGGGTGGCTGTATGTGGCATTGTGTCAGCTGTGCCTCAGTTTCCCTCTTGGGGTTTTGGCCTATTCCAGCTATAGGACCCTCCAACCAAGACACAGTCAAGAATCTGACTCCTTCCAGAGTCACAGAGTCCTTTAACACATCCAATGAAAATATAAAGACAACTAAATCTTCAGCCCCAATAGGGCACACCTCGCCACCCCTCTTCCTCCCAGGCAAGCTTCAGCTATAATGCAATGTCCTCACACTTCTGTACTTCACTCCAGTCCAAAGGCTAGGGCTGGCACAGTTCTCTACCTTCTAGGATCGCAGGCAGGCCATCATCCTTCAACAGCTCCTGATCTGCCCTCAGGCTACAGGCTCACCCGAGGAGGAGACTGTCTGCTTCTCTCCCCTCCTAGCCTTCTATCTGGCCCTTCCCAGAAAGAGGGCGCTCACTACATTCTCTCCCTAACCTCTGTCCCCAAATTAGCTTTCCTTTAAGTCCTTTCCCTTCACCTGACCACACCCTCCCCAGATGCAATCAGTGAGGTTCCTAGTACCCTCAGGCACTTTATGGTACCTGTGTGGTATTTACACTCATCACAGTTCTCCATTAGTTTTCATAAGAAACAGAGACGACAGCATTATCTAGAGGTTAGAGGCCAAGGATATGTCTAAGTTTTGAACTGGGGGGGAGGGGGAAGAGGGGAGGAGGGGTGTGATTCGAAGTGTGGATGTACCCTCCGAGACAGGACTCCTGGGTTTAAGTCCCATTCCTAATATGATCTCATAGGATTTTGGTCTAGTCACAAACTGAGGTATAGAGAAGATATCTATCTTTAAAGCGAATAAAATCATATAATCTACCACTAAGAGATATTGTGAGACTTAGTAAACTGTTAGTAGAGTGTTTTTAGATCCTTGGATGAAAGGATATGGGCTAGATCCTTAGCTTGTATAAACTGACCCTTAGCTTCACATACTTCAATGGAACACTTGTGGATCTGGCCCACTGTGTTAGTGAAAAGTATTAATATCTTCAAAAGAATAGCTAACCAATCCATCCACTCCCCCACACCAAAGGAGCTCATTAGAACTAAAATAAGTAATTTGCTAACAAAATTAAATATATTTAGTGTTTGTTTAAAAACATGCAACATATTTAAAGTGTTCTAATCCCACTATGGTTTATATTTTAAAATGCTTGAATGTTCCAATTTTACATACAATATTAAACAAACTGATTTTATATATGAATTATGAAACAGAAGTATAATTAAAACAAGAATGATCTAACAAATGTTAGTCAATTCTCCATCAACTTAGAATATAGCATAACTGAGTAAATTATTACTGACATGTTGAATAGCTTTATCTAAATTTAAGATCCATTTGTTTTCATACCACTGATTTAACTACTGCTGGTGATACTTGGATCATTTTTGTTCATCATCATGTAGGTCTTCATCTTCGTGTTGCTCAGCATCTACGAAAGCCACATGTGCTGCTTTTTTTGAACCTGAAGCCTCACCTTCTTCAAGAGGTATTTTTTCTACCTTTGCTGTGTCTTCATCACGTAGGTCTTCATCTTCACGTTGTTCAACATCTACGAAAGTGACACGTGCTGTTTTTTTGGAACCTGAAGCCTCATCTTCTTCAACAGTTACTTCTTCCTTTGCAGTGCCTTCATCACGTAGGTCTTCATCTTCATGTTGTTCAACATCTACGAAAGTCACACGTGTTTCTTTTTTTGAACCTGAAAACTCACCTTCTTCAAGAGGTACTTCTTCTACCTTCGCTGTGCCTTCATCATGTACATCTTTATCTTCATGTTGTTCAACATCTATGAAAGCCACACGTGCTGCTTTTTTTGAATCCGAAGCCTCATTTTCTTCAAGAGGTACTTCTTCTACCTTCACTGTGCCTTCATCATGTAGCGCTTCATCTTCACATTGTTCAACATGTACAAAAGTCACATATGCTTCTTTTTTTGAATCTGAAGCCTCATATTCTTCAAGAAACACTTGTTCTACCTTTGCTGTGCTTTCTATTGAAGATGCTACAGTAGTATCCTCAACTTTAGGTAAGTCTGCTCTGGAAGTCCAAACAGAACTGTACTTTGTATATGAATCATTTAGACTCTAAGAAAATACATTAAAAATGAAAACATAAATATGGACATGATACATTTAAATATCTAAATTATATCAGAAGTTCTAACAAAATGGGATGTTCGTAGATCAAATAGGTTTTAAGGCAGAAAGGACTATGATGATCATCTAGTCTGACCTGTCTAACACAGCCAAATAGACTTCTACCCAGTAATTCCTGCATTGAGCCCATAACTTCTTATTGAACTAGAACATACATTTTAGAAAGACATCCAATCTTGATTTAAAGACTTCAAGGTGATGGAGAATTCACCATATCCCTTGGTAACTGGTTCCAGTGATTAACTGTTCTGTTAAAAATGTACATCTTATTTCTAGATTGAATTTATCTAGCTTAATCTTCTAGTCACTGGATCTTGTTATGGCTCTCTCTGCCAAATTAACAAGCCTTCTGGTATCCAATATTTTGTCTCTGTGTAGATACTTATGGACTGTGGTCAAATTATCTTTTAACCTTCTCTTCTAATAAACTAAATAGAATAATCTCCTTACATCTCTCACCGTAAGGCAGGATTTCCAGGCCTCAACTCATTCTGGTAGGTACTTGCTCCAACCCTCTCCAGTTCGTCAACAAAACCCTATGTTGCAGAAACTATACATAGCAGCAACTAACTATAACTTTTTAGAATATCCATTTCCACTTTATCTTTGAACTGGGCTCTGATAAATGGCTCATCCAGAAAAGGATAGAAATGGATCTCTTCTCACCATAGGGCTGCTACTAATACCACAAGAGCTTTCATAAATAATCTAAGCACTGTGACCTGTCCAAAAGGCAATAATCAATATTGAAATACTGATGCCCACAGGCTAAATGGAAAAATATTGAGAAGGGTAAACTGGAACATAGAGGTAAGCTTTCTTCAAGTCTGTGGATGACTGGTTGTCTCCCCTACTGATGGTTGGGAGGATAGGCTTGAAGGTTTCTATCTTGAAAGATAGGTTACTTACCTTGTACAGTAACTGGAGTTCTTTGAGATATGGAGTCCCTATCCATATTCCATGTAGGTGCTCATGAGTTCCTTGCGTCTGAGAACAGATTTTTGCTGGTAGCATCTGTTGGTTGGCACCAACGCTCTTCACCTCCTCATGCTCTGTGCCAAGGGTATAAATGACCACACAGACCAACCACCTATCCAGTTCCTTTTCTACCACAAATCTCATGTCAAGATCTGCAGCTCTGGGGAAAGAGGGAGGGTAGTGGAATATAGATAGAGATCACACATCTCAAAGAACTCTAGTTTCTGCACAAGACAAATAACCACTCCTTCTTTGAATGATGGTCCCTATCTCTATCCCATTGTGGGTGACTGACAAGCAATACTCATTATGAAGGAGGGTGCGAGGACCTCTCTGAAGTCAGCAATTGCAGGACTGCTGTGACTGAAACCTCAGCAGCAGATGCCTGCATTAAAATGTAATGCTCTGCAAAGGTGTGCATAGAACCCCATGTCACTGCTCTGTAAATATCAATTAAAGGAACATCACTGAAGGAGGCTTTGCTCAAACTGAGCTCCTGTTAATGCTAAGAGGACTAAGTTGAAGTCATATTCCAGAATCGGACTAATAAGAATGAGACCTTTTTGGAAACATATTGTCACTGGATGTTTGAAGATGGAGTGGTTGTCAATCAGAGGGTGACGAGCAGTGACACCTACCAGATGGACCCATACAGAGCTAAGAGAAAGACCCTTAGTCTTCAGAAAAAGGAGACAGTCCAAGATACTGAGAATGTCAGAGGGGTTAGTTGATGAGGTTGACACCAGACTGAAAACCACCTTCACTTAGCTATGCAACATTTCTAGTGGATTCTCTTCTACTATTGTTAAGGATGGCTTGAACAGCTTCTGAACATGTTGTTTCTAGGTTCAATGCTGATTAAAAAAACAGGCTTTGAAGTGGAGATAGGCAGGTTGAGTTGGGGTGCTTTATCTTGCCCTCTTTCTGTGTCAAGCAGTCTGGGAATGGTTGGATTGTCATATGCAGTCGAGCTGACATCTATAGAATACTGAGGTACCAGAATTGTTTAAGCCACCTGGGAGCAACCAGTATGATCATTATTTTCTTCTACTTGGTTTTTTGCAACACTGAAGTAAGTGGGATGGGTGGAAAGACATACATCAGCTCATCTGACAAAGGTACTAGAAGTGTGGTCCCCCTCTGGATCCCTGACCTTCACCCCCTTTGAAGCAATAGGTCCTACATTTTCTTTTCTCCTGAGTCACAAACAGGTCCCAAGATGCACCTACATACCCCCCCCCCCTTTTTGGTGGAACATGGTTTGAACTACTGAGTCATGTAGTTCCTATATGTGATTCCTGGATAAGAACCTGGTGAGGCTCTTTGCCAGAGTACTGTGTATTCCTGGAGGGTATACTACTGATAGAGTGATGTGATGGTGAATACACCAATTCCACAGATTAACAGCTTCAATACATAGCAGGGTGGAATCTCACACCTCATTGCTTGTTGATGTACAATACTGCAACACGTTGTCTAACATCACTTGAACATGCTTTGTTTGTGTGTATGATAGAAACTGGTTACAAGCCTTAAGGACTGCTTGCAGTTCTAGGAGGTTTATGTGCATCAGAGCTTTTGTGAAGTCTATGTGCCTTATGCTGTAGGTTTGTCTAGATGAGCACCCTTCCTAACTGGGAGGCGTCCATTATCAATGTTATCTTGGGAGAAGGAGGGATGAACGGAACCCACACATACATCTGTTTTCTGTTCTTCCACTTGCATAGAGATACTCAAACTCAGGGCTTGGGACATATGCTGTCCTGAGCCAAGCTTGTAGGCAATGAAGTCAAAGCCTTGCGAATGATGTCACGTATGTGCAGGCAGCCATGTGACCTGAAAGTGTGAGACACAAACAAACAGATGTTTGTGGGCTGATCTGGAGCTGGGCAGCAAGTGTCTTCATGGTCTGGAACATGTCCAAAGGAAGGTATCCTCTGGCCCTGATAGAATCCAGTGTTTCCCCAATAAATTCTATGTTTTGTGTAGGAATTAAAGCAGATTTATCTGTGTCTACACAGATTACCAGTGATCATAACAGCTTAAGTAGGAATGATGTTGCTGAGAGAACCACTTGATAAGAGCTCCCCATCAAAAGCTGGCCGTGGAGGTAGGGAAAAATTAATGACCTGCTGTGGCGGAAGTGAGCTGCATACTCTTGGGGCTGTTGAAAGACTGAAGGGAAGCACCTTGTGCTGGTAATGGTTCATACCTACAGTGAACCTGAGAAATCTTTCTGTGTGCTAGATAGATGTTTATGTGAAATTGGCATCTTTTACGTCGAGAGCTGTGAACCAATCTCCCTTGTTCGATGAGGGAATTTTTGCTGCCAAAGTTACTATTCTGAAGTGTACCACACAGATGAAGACATTGAGCTGATGCAGATCCAAGATGGGTCTCCATCCTCCCTTCTCCTTGAGAGCATGGAAGTATTTTGAATAAAACCCTTTTCCCACAGTACTGGTGAGTTACCAGTTTTATGACTCCTAGATGAAGGAGTCATTTTCCTGAACAAATATCACCTCAGGAAAGTGGTTCCTGAAGAGGGAAAGGGATAGAGGTTGTGGGGAGAGGAACTCTATAGTGTAACTGGTATGAAAGATGTCGAGGATCCATCTCTCCAATGTTTTACTCTGCCAGGTGTGGATGAAACAGGCTAGACAAACACCAAATTGGATATGACAGTCTTGGTTAGATAACACTGGCAGTTGAGTTGGTTTGCAGTTCTCTACAGTCCCATTAAAAGTGTTTCTGTACAGATGGCTGGAATTGGAAGGCGGAAGCAGGAGGAGTGTTATGTTTGCCTTGTTGCACCCTTTGTCATTTCCTTGGTGGTTCATAACCCCTCTGGTGGAAAAAAAGGTTGGGATGTTTGTCTTTGTTTATCTGACTGTGGCCTATAGAACTTCCTCTTGGGTGCTGGTATGAAAATCCTCAGGGAGCAGAGGGTTGCCCTTGAGTCCTTCAATGAACATGGGGACTCATTTGTCATCTAGTTAAAATGGTTGTTTCCTTCAAAGGGCAAGTCCTCCACCGTAGACTGAACTTCTAACGAGAATCCGGAGGAGTAAAGCCGTGATGCTCTTCTCATGACAACAGCCGTCGCCATTGAGTGAGAGGTTGTATCAGCTGCACCGAGTGTGGTCTGCAGTGATGATCTTGCAATCAATTTACCTTCCTCAATGAGTACCTCAAACTGACCACTAAACTCCTGTGGAAGATTATCTGTGAATTCCATGAATTCGGTATAGTTGACAAAAATCATATTTAGACATTAATGCCTGACAGTTTGCTATACTAAATTGCAGGCTGGTGGAAGAAAAAACCTTCCTGCTGAATAGATCAAAGCATTTAGCTTCATTATCAGGAGGTGGATCTTGGATGATGTTGCCTGCTGCTTTCTGAGGCTGTCTCTACCTCCAATGATTTTGGTACAAGGTGAATGAATAAAAATACTGCTCCTTTGGCTGTCACAAAAAAATCTTTTTTCTGTTGTCTTGAGGGTGAGAGCACGTGACCAGAGTGTGCCAGACCACTTTTGCAGGTTTCAAGATGGCTTAATTGATGAGCAGTGCCACATTGATGTGCCCCACACACTGCAGAATATCTAGGAGTCTTCCACAGGGATCTGCAGCGTGTCTGCCACCTTCTTTAGCAAGTCTTGAAATTGCCTGAAATTGTCAGAGGGAGATGGGGAGACAGAAGCAACTACCTTGTCTGATGATGACAAAGAGAATCCTGTTGGATCAGTCAGCTCCAGTTAGTCTTCCTCAACTCTTTCCTGCGGTAGTTTTGTTTCCTCTCTGTGGGGAGAGGGGTGCTGTAATTCAAGGAGGGATCATGTAGACTTGGAACCATGAGTGTACAGGTCCCAGGATTGCCAGTGTGATCTGTACAATGAGTCTTCAGAACTGGGAGCTCTGGGTAAGCCAATCCCATACCAGGATGAC